CCTGTGGTTTAAACCATCCATTTAAATCTGTAGTTTACCACCTCAAAAACATGTCATTTACCCACCCTCAAAATAAAAGATGAAACTTTGTAGGTAACCAAGGAATTTGATGGTACCTAAAAAATCATTTTAAAGTCAATGGTGTAAATTCTTTTTTTATTATTTATTTATTTATTTTTTTGTTAATGTATAAAGATTTGCATCTTCAGCATAAGGTGCAGAAGCTCGAGTAAATTAATTGGCATTGTTTTAGGAAACTTTAAATGCATGTGTTGGTTTCCTAAACAATCTCGAACTTTGGATTCGGAAAGTGGTTGTAAAATTTAGTTCAAACTAATAAACACAACAGTATTAATAATGAAAATAAGTGTGTTATAAGTGACTTGGGTTTATGTTCTAATATAATAGGTTAAAATAATTCAGTTTAAATAGATGTAATTAAAATAATTAATGCTACTTAATAAATATTCATAAAAATGAGTGTAAAATTAAAGTAGGCTATGGCATAATTTAACTGTTCCCTCAAGTATAAATTACGTTCATGCAAAATGTGTACACTGAAATTATTTAAAGATGATTACCAGGTTTTACTAAAGTTAAGTGGTTAATTTATTTGGGCTGAATTTAAACAAATTAGGTTGAACGGTATTTAATTTAATTTGTTTGAATTCAACAAATTATTTGCATCAGTTTTGCCAAAACCCCCCCCCCCTCATTTTTAGTCTATGTACACCATTACATGTTTAGAATAGTGTCTGCTTCACAGAATCCTCCACAAACCTGAAGGCTCTAAGTGTAGAGATTAATTGAATATAGCAATTACTAGACCTTACTTTGTTTTTTAATGCATGCTTTTCTTGCCAACATAATTCTTAGTTCCTTGACAATGCGGTTTACCAAAAACAAGATTTCAGTATAATTGATTTTTAATAGGTGTTTGTCTGTGTGATGCTTTATCTTCGCTAATCTTTATGCAGATACAACTCCAAGAGGAGACACTGGAGAAGGACCAAGCTGGGCTTGTAAACCACTGTTTACTTCAGCATCCCCCTCCATCTGTTCCCTGCCAGGACCACCAACTCATCCAGAGCTGGAGAGAAGCCATGCTATCTGGAACAGCAGTCTCTCTTTTGTACAGATATTCTGGTTATGTCCTTGCTAAACAATAAACAATTTGTCATCGAACCAGAATTATGTGGATTTTTCTCTTTTGTGAAATGGCAAATGCCAAAGTTTACATTCTCCATTGAGTGGTTATGCAAGAAAACAAATCTGCTTTTATATTAATACACTTCATTTAGTATTTTTCTGATGTTTTTAACTTCTGGTTAGTGAAACAAGAATCACTTAATACCAGCTGTATTCTGTTCCATTATTATTTATCATGTAGACTGCTATCCTTCTGAAATCTTCTCTAAATTGTCTTCATGGTTTAGAATTTAGGTGTGAATCTAAGCAAACAAAGCATCTCCAGTATTGCAATGTTTATTTAAAAAGATAACAAATCATATAATGCACAGCACTATTACAAAGTCAATTATTTGCCAGTCTCACCAATCAAATTGTAATTAATGCACCAAGTATTAACCCGTAAGCAATACATTTGAAGTCTCAGATCTTTTCAATCAGTCCTGCACTGTACAACAACCTCTTAAATGATCTGAATCTCTGGCGTGTGATTCCTCCAGAGCCATCCACCTCTGCTTTATTTTCTTGAGCATGTTCTTCAACTGGCTGTGCTTGACTTGCACTGTTGTTCACATTCAAGTGTCCTACAGTGTGTTGTTCATCCCAGGCTCCCAAAAGCTCCTTCATTTCTCTCGGTGCCTTTTCCTTGAGATATTGCCATGCCCTTTTACCATTGTAGTCCATGACGTCTATGTTGGCACTGAATGCACCAACTAAAACCTTGACCACCATGTACTGCTCATGCATGGCAGCCACATGAAGAGCAGTCATACCTCCACTGCCCCTCAGGTTAACGTTCACTGACAGACCCTCCTTTTCAGCATGCCTGAGAAGCTGAAGTAGTGTCTCGTCCCTACCATTTTTGGCCAACCAATGAAGAGCTGTAAATCCGCTGATAAAGTCTTTTTTGCTCAGTAAACTGGGATCTTCAGCCAGAAACTCCAGCATGGTGTCATAATTTCCATCCACAGCAGAAAGCATCCACGCGTGCTCCATGGGGTCCAAAGCCCACAGCTCATAGCCGCAGTTCAGGGTGTCGCCATACTCCGCGCTTTCCTCCTCTTCTGACGATTTGTGTTTGGATAATAAAATACTTGACAATCCAGATCCGTTATTCAGAAATAACTCCTTAAGATACTTCTTTCGCATAGCGGGGGTGAGGGAGCCTTTCTCCGAAGCATCCACTGACAGTTTGCGGGAGGCGCCCGGCTCCCAGCCCTCCGGCGGTTTGTGGACCTTGGATCTGCGCGAGGAGGAGGCAGCGCTGGACGCGGGAGACACCGACCGAGGACCATGCCTAGACAGCCGCTCTTCCAGATGTGCACGGAACTGGCTTGCTATTCTGTTTTTGGGGGAGTCCGAACTGCTTGCGTTGTTCCCTGAGGCGTTCGTTTCTTCTCTTGGTTCTTCCGAGGGCAGTGCCTCTGCTCCCAGAGGGGCATTAAAATGTCCCTCATTAGAACTGATGGCCCCGTTGCAGTTCCCCTCATACATACTGGCGGATCCCCGGGAAGTTATTTACTTAGATAAGATCCAAATTGAAGAGGATTGCATAACCAGAGAAAAACCATCTTCCTTGTCTTCAGTTCTCTATAATTGCCCAGATTTGGGTGGGGAAGAAATAAATGTAACGTTATCAAGTTTAAATTACAACAATAGATAAGTCGTTTATTATTAAAATTGGGATTTCTAGAAGGTTATTAAAATGTATAATATTAAAACAAAAGAAAACGACTTAGTTTTCTCTTGGGGGTAAAAAAAAAAGCTTCCTTGTTTTTGTTCCTCTTTATTTTTGCTTTTAAAACAAAACATTCACTCCAAGTTAACGTATATTTTAATTATTAGCCTACTTTATTTCATTTTTTTTACCTTTTAATCTGGTTTACCCCTTGATGTTTACGTTTTCGGGAATTGTTTTACTTTTAATTAAAATGTATTTAAATAAACAAATGTATATAAACAAATAAATAAATTACATTCTTGTTAACGTATGATATTTGAGAATCTCTAACATTAGATTTCTTGATGAAAGTAAGTGAATTTAACCTGTCTCTCAAGTAAATCATCCGTTGATCGTGTCACCTGTTGTCCACACAGTTCGTCTAGATATTCTTGTCTCGTCCTGGTAAGTCTTTCTGTTCTGACACAGCTCAGCCATTGTTGCGGTTTATGGATTTTTAACGCATAGTTAAACGGCAAGTGTTTATTTCAGAGAAGCAAAAAGTTGTGTTGGCTAACCGAAACTATTCGTGTGTGTTCTTCCTCAGTAACCATTTCCGATGTCCTCCAATCCCTCCCCTTGATAAAGTCTAAAGTTCAAATACCAGTGACTAAATCAACACTTGTCTTCATACCCACAACACTGGCCACTAAAGGCTGACGCGTTATAAACTGGTTTTGTTTATCAAACATATGCAAAATGCAGTAAGTTCACAGGACACTCTTTGCAAATTGTCTGTTTAAGTAGCCCAAAACACCTTCAAAAATAAAGATTAATGTTTGTACAGCATTTTAAGTGTGTGGTTTTTAAGGATTTAGTAAACTTGGTAGAAATATAGTAAAATTGTGTCAGCATTAGGTTACTTAAAAGCACAAGTTTCAGTGAATAATAGTAACCTAAAATACTCTGGATTATAAGTAAATTTGACTTAAAATAGGGTTGCCGAACTTAATTTCAAGTTAAAATTGAGTTGATGTTACTTGAATGTGTAATTTGAGACCATGCAAAGTCTAAAAGAAGTTTGAAATACTCAAGGCTGATGCAAATAGTTGCCTCGTTTTTTCATTAAGTAAAACATACACAGCATATATATATATATATATATATATATATATATATATATATATATATATATATATATATATATATATATATATATATGTAATTTTTATTATTATTATTTTTTTTACAGTTTATTGGATTGATATAGTACTCATAGGTTACATTATAGCATGTAGCATGTAATTTGAACAGTCTGCTGAAAATTTGGACTTGCCTATCAATTTTGAATTCATTATGTCTCATATAGGTGAATTTATACATAAAAACAATAGATAGCCTAACGATTAGAGACTCATGAATAGAAATAATCAGTCAGCACTTAGGCCATATTATTGCTGTTTATTTTTTTATTTATTTCTAAATTGCCATATGTGTTTTTAGTAAATCTCAAATTTAATTAAAAATCTATTTTTTTCTCATAATTATTAACATTTTCTGTTTTCTCTCTGTTTAAAATACCCTCCCCTGATACTATTTTCTATTGTAAATTTATAAAGGCCTAGTGTATTAGACTAGCTAGGATTCATCATATTTACATATTTTTGTTTTGTTGTTTTGACTACTTCTGTTGTTTCTTGTTTCATTTTGGATAAAAGCGTGCAGTGCATATAATAAATATATTTAAATTATAATTGGAACGTTAGACTACAAGGCCTACATTGCAGATCTACATTAATATATTTAATGCTTATAAAGAGAAACTCAAGTTTTACACTATTCAGTATCCTTTACTATAGTTAAACCTAGAAATGTGCGTTTTAGCTGTTGAGCTGAAGACAGTACCATTTAATAAAATGGGGGTCATATTGTGACACAAAGGTTTGACTTTCACATGTTTTTTGGGAGCAATAATAATCAAACAAGTGTATTTTAGACAAAATTTCACGTTTGAACATAAAATCACATGTCATAACTGTGCTATTGCAAAATGAACAGAAGCCGTTATGGGGTCAGTGATGAATGGTACAGTCCATCGTATGTGAGTAGTCGCTGTAGCTTCAGTTTGCGTGCTGCTGCAGTTTCCTGTGAAGGTTTGATGCAGGAGAGAACCATGGCGGCCACTGAGATAGCACGACAAGCGGTAAGAGCGCTCTTTTGTTACTAAGATGTGTTTTCGGATTACCAAACTAGACTTATGTGTGTAAATCAGCCATTTTAGATGGAGCGAAATATACGTTAGTAGAACCCAACAGGTTTCGCTTTTCATTTATTCGTTAACGTAACGTTAACGGCCCATTATCCACAAACTGGTCAATTATGTCTGATAATAAACAGCTGCTGTTGTTTGTGGACACGATTAGAAAGTATAAGCACACTCGCTGCTCATTTGAAACGGCATTGGTTTCCCCATTTAGCTTTTTTTGGAGGGGGAAATAGATAGATGTTGAGGGCCAACAATAACTGGCGAACGTAACGGTTTGAAGTGTCTACTACCGATCTATTTTCTAAACCAACGATAAAATACTATTATATTCTTAAACATTACCGTACGTGATTCCAGAATCCATTTAATTTAACCGCGTTTAATAAAGCTGTAATTAATTGCATTAGCATCCTTGCCTCTTTTGAACGCTGGGCGTTGTCTATCATTAAATATTTCGTGCACTCATGTCAGAAACTGACATGTAAACCAGTTTCAGATGTGTTTTGTAGCAGTCTGTGTTCTGTGCATTTGACGTCTCTAATGCAAGTACGCACCTAACGTTAGCAAAGGCAGCAGACACAGGGCTGAGTTCAAAAGCTGATAGATGAGATAAACGACGTTAAGTCAGTCTTTACTAGAGAAACCAGACATCTGAACCAGTGTTTTCTGGTTACAGGGCAGCCACTGGGGTGTTCCAGTCATGATGGCACCCCCTTTGATTCCTTACAGTTGTCTGGTTTGGGAATGTTGCACATGTGGGTCAATTGTGACAGTTTGTTCGGTCAATAAGATGCTCTCAGTCTGGCTTCTCTCAGTTGCCTGTTTTGTATTTAATGAGCAGTGCAATTGGTTGTTGATGTTTGACTGTTATATCTGTTTTTTTATTGGTACTACAGCTAACATACAAACGTGTGCTGTTGATCAAATGTTTACTGTTAATTTCAGTTTAGCTTAAATGAATGGTTCGTTCTAAATCTCAAAAGTTGTGGGTATTTACTTGCATTTAGGCAATCCAAGATGTAGGTGACTTTTATATTCTAGTAAAACATTTTGACATTTTTAAGTTTTAAAAAGTAAAATCATAGTTCTTGGTAAATCATAACATGCAAGTCAGTGATTACAACACTGAGATTAAAAATAAAAAGGCCCATGGGATAAACTAAATTAAGCTCGATCACTAAACTCTTGTGAATTCACTCAGAAGTCTTTGAGGTTGAGTCTTGAAGTAATCTTTTTCTGTTTCTTGCACTACTAAGGATTTTCTTGATAACGCTTCAGTGTATAACCAGTGGCCATGGGTGTTTATTTTATATGTAGACTGTTTTTTTTTACTTTTATAACACTGGTAGCTATTAACTTTTATTATATGAAGCACAGAGGGCTGCATTTAGAAATTATTTTTAATGTTCTGCTGAAGAAAAAAAATTGCTTGCATATTGGAGGGCTTAAGTGTAAATGTATCAAGAGGGAAATTAAAATTGAGTGAGCTATCGCTTTAATGAAATGTTTCCATTTGCATATTGGATTTTTTTTTTTAACATTAGACCTTTTCTGACTGAATGCTTGCCCTTCTTTTTTATTATTCTAGCAAAAATCCACTGATTTGGCACATTCACTGTGCTCCTCGTATAGGCCACACATATGCAAACACCCACACACCAAAGGATATGCTGTAAATGTGGGCAGACAGCCTTTCCTGTCAGAGTTTTTGCAGACCAGGTGTGAACAATGGCAGAGGAAGTGCTGGAGTGGAATACAGATCAAAATTTGACATTTGTGTTTAGTTATTGACAACCGTTTTGCTACACAAGTATCTTACAGGTTACTTGATAAGGGAAACATTGGTCTGCAACTGCAGATGGTTTACGTGTTTGTTTGCCTGATTGTGGTTTCAAGAGTTGAGATCAGACAGGAAAGAGGAAGTGCACAGAGGAGAAACTAGAGATCTGTACTACAGTATTACAAATTGTACTGGGTTTGTTTTTAAATATTTTTTGTATTCTTATAAATGCATACAAAGACTTTTTTTGCATTGCTACCAATGAGAAACTGTTCAAAGAATCGATTTTTTTAAAAGTTGTCTTGCTTGTTTCATTTATATGCTTTGCTTTTCTTGTATTTTAGGGAGAGGGTGCACGTGCTGTCCCACTCTCTGGTCATGTTGGCTTTGACAGCATGCCGGACCAGCTGGTCAACAAGTCCGTCAACCATGGTTTCTGCTTCAATATCCTCTGTGTGGGTGAGTGTGTCATGTGGGAGCTCCTTTTTACTTGGGGCAAAACTAAGCATTTGCTTCAGTCTATGTCACACCACTCCACTGCGTACACATACTGATTTTGTCCTGTGACCCACTTACTAAATACTGGTGCACTGATGGAGAGCAGTTGCAGGAACTTGGGATTTAATTTCATACTATCAGTTAAGTGATAGTATGAACGAAAATCATCATTAAAAAAGATTATTGCAAGTTAGTTTTTTGAGAATGCTGGTTTGCAATAAAATGCATCATTTAGGGAAAATTACAGAAGCCGAAAAAGGTTAAACATGATATGAGTTAAATCACATACGCAAATAGAAAAACCCTAACGAATTGAGAAAACATCTTCAACGCACACACAAATTCTTACAGCACATGCAAATACAGAAACAAGCTGCAAGTAGGGTACAACAGTCAGGGTATCTTCTGTCTATTCCATATCCATTTTAAATTTTTGTGCACAACTTCTTGCACACCCTCAAATATATGCTGCTCAAGCGCAGATTTTGTTGTGCACTCTCAAATAAACGCTGCTGAAATGCGATTTAGTGCATTTATGTAACAAGTATGTCTCCAACATTTATTAGATTTTTTAGGAATATTTATTAATGTCTCCAAATAGACCTACTGAACAGCATTGATGCATCCTGAAGTAAAGTGAAACGGTCATAAACTCCAGCAAGATAAAGTCATTGAATGCCGAACCGTAGACCTTTATCCATAAGTAAAGTATAATTATGGATACTATTCATTATAACTGAAAGCTATGTTGTGTTTGCTGGCCTCGCGGATCACACAGCCCTATCAGTCAGTCAGTCAGCATGTAACCTTTAAAGGATTAAACAATTAACACACAGCACTACGATGATTACAGAAAAGTTTGCTCTGTTTTAATTCACTTACATTTTAATACGTTTTGGTGTGATTATAACCTGCTATAAGAAAAGTAACAGCAACAACTGAAGGTTTTTAATTAGAAGCTGTAATGAAGCTGTGGCAGGAACGATTTTTGGTGTGGTGCTCCTGCTGCTCCACCATGAATGAATGTAGCGGAAACCATGCAACCGAGCCATTGGTATTGTCAGTATAACATGCCATTTCAAAAAAACAAAATATTAATTTACTGTTAATTTTGCCCTTCTTCAGATAATTAGGCCTAAAATTATACAAACAAAAAAACAAAGGACTTCCTGGTTCATGATTTGTCACTTTTGGGGTCCCCCCGACATCTTTTTGTTGCAGTTTGTGCTATTTGCAGCATGTTTTTGTATTTGCATATGTCGTGAGAATTTGCATGGTCCTCTGTTCTCAAGTTGCTGGAGATGTTTTCTTAATTTGTTAGTGTTTTCATATTTGCATGCGTTTTTATTTTATTTATTTATTTATTTTTTTACTTGCACTGCAGCATGTTTGATCTCTCTTGACCGCCAAGAGAAAACTGTTTTGTCCCTATGTGTTGTATTGATAAATTTGTTGTGGGAATAAATCGACGTTTGAATTGGATCAAAACTTATTGAACAACAACCATGAGACAATTTTATTAACTTTTTTTTATTTGATCCACTTCAAATGTTGACTATCGTAAGGATGAAATAAAAAGTCTATTGCATATATTATGCTTTATCATTTATTAAGTGGTGTCACAAAATAAAGGGTTTACAGTAATAATATTCTTAATCTAAATGAGCACAATGTTACATTCCATTATGAGGATGCAGACAGAAACATGAATAACAGCATCGTGTCAGTGAAAGCCAGATGGCATTTTTTGATTGGACCAGCACTGGTGTCTTTGTATTTCAATTCATTTAATGTTGAGGTGTAACACATGTATGCCAAAGAGGATGATATTCATAAAAAGCACCAAAGCATACTGGGTAATCTAATGTGGTGAGAGGAAGAGGAAGTAGGCCTTACACAAGGCAGAGATACATGTGCAGTAATGTGGGTTACACCTGGGTCTTAGTAATTATACATAAACTTGCCATTTAAAGGGATGGTTTACTCACAAATAAAAATTTATTCACAAATTTCTTCTCAGTTTATTTTTTCTGTTGAGCTCAAAAAAAGATAATTTAAAGAATGTTGTAATCCTGCAACCGTGGACATTCATACTAGAAAATAACAACTGCTATGGGAGTCAGTTGTCCTATTCAAAATATCATCTTGTGTGTTCAGCAGAAGAAGCTCAAATAGGTGTGTTACAAGTAAATTATGACTTCAAAAGAGTATCTTTTTGTTTTGTGAGTGAATTGTCCCCTTTAAATGTTGACTAGTGAAAAGCATTCTCATAGCTTAAACAGCAGAGCATGGTGCAAACTATGTCATGCACTGCCATGTGATTTTATAACAGGTGCTGTTTTATTTGTCTGTGTACATATGAATGCAATCATTTTAGTTTGCTAAATGCATAAACTACCATAAAAGTAGTAGTAGTTTTGAGTTTATTAGAAGATTTTTAAAGAAGCAAACTACCAAATCTTACATGCACACAATGATATTCTCTCACTTGTCATATTGATTACCTCATGGTCACACGGCTATTTAACTATAGTGAAGCCTGACTTAATATATAAACAAGCAGTTATAATTATGGACTTAAAGCAAATGTAATGGCATCATTGTGACGTTTTATGTAGAAATAAACTTTTTAGTTTTATTAAATTTATTTATCATATATATATATATATATATATATATATATATATATTTTTTAAGATCTAATCAGTAGGCAACTGCAACTGCTAATGGTGACTGTCTTGTACCAAAGTGTAAGACCTCTTTTGGTCAATCTGTTTTCTTTGTTAAGGGAACCAAATTGTGTAATAATTTGCCTGTTAGCCTAAAATTATAAAGTAATATGAATATTTTAGTAGTGTTCTTAAACGGTTAAAAACAAAACAGCAGTGTTTGCACAAATATGTCATGCCGCCTTTGCTTTTGCCAACAGCAATTGTATGTAAAGAATTATAATGTTATGTATGTGTATCTATTTTATTTACATTTTGTCAAGTCAAGCTTCTTGTGGACAGATGTTGAGAATTAGTGAGCTTCCAAAACGCTTAATAACATTTGGTTGTCCAGTGTAATTGTGATGTTCATGTCAAATAAATAATAGTAAATAGTAAAAATCTGTACTGTTTCATATTTGCTTGGTTAATTGTTAGTATGTTTAAATATCTATAGATGCTTGGACTGAAGATTATATATTTTATAAATAATAAAGAAATGTAATAATCAAATATTTACAGAATTTATTCACCTCACATTTAATCCATATTTAGTTTCTGGTAAAAGCTAGCTAATTATACATGAATATACATATGATTTTTTTTTAAATCAAGATAATGGCTAAAGAGATTTTATAGCAACCTATGAAAGACTGGCGAAAAATGTCTAGAAACAAGTTTTACTCAGGAATTGATTGTAACAGTTGCTAAGAACTAAAACACATTTTCTTGGTAATATACTCCATCTTTGTTTTGTTTTCAACTTGATGATGCTCTCTACCTGGTAAGAAACCAATAGTTTCAAAAATGCAAGTAAACTCTACAAGACTTTGTTCGTGTACCTGCAGTGCTGAATATTCGTCATGCATTTTTTCACTTTGCAGTTTGAATTATTTATAAACCGTCATTGTTTCAGATTCTGTGTTAGCAGCATGCACTAAAGTTTATGGCATCTGTCAGAGCTTTTATCCCAATTTAGCCAAACCTCTGAGGAAGAAAGAACAAAGAACGCTCTAGAAACTAAAGTGAATTTGGCAAAGGACTGTTGTCAAGCAGGCTTTTCTCCTCTTCATTCTTGATTATTGTGTGAAGTTCAGGTATAATGAATACTAACTGCTTTGGCATGCTGTAAATATCACGCAGTGTGTATCAGAAGAAAAGCAGTGATGCAATTCATGTAACTATCAGCTGGAATTGTCTTATGAGGAAGAGAATCAGTGTGCCGTTTTAAATGTAGTCTCGTGAATATCATACCTTGTGATGTTCAGGGTGAGAAGTCATCAGTTTAATTTTAGGTCTCAGAAGAGGCCTTTTGGTTTGAAGTAGAGCTGTGCAATATTATACACTCACAGGCCACTTTATTAGGTACACCTTACTAGTACAGGGTTGGACCCCCTTTTACCTTTAGAACTGCCTTAATCCTTCATGGCATAGATTCAATAAATAAGTTGGAAAATTCCTCAGAGATTTTGCTCCATATTGACATGATGGCATCACGCAGAATCTCCCATTCTGCCACATCCCGAAGATGCTCGATTGGATTGAGTTCTGATGACTGTGGAGGCCATTTGAGTAAACTGAACTCATTGTCATGTTCAAGAAACCAGTCTGAGATGATTTGCTCTTTATGACATGGCGCGTTATTCTGCTGGAAGTAGCCATCAGAAGATGGGGACACTGTGGTCATAAAGGAATGGACATGATCAGCAGCAAACTTGGGTAGGCTGTGGCGTTGACATGATGCTCATTTGGTACTAATGGGCCCAAAGTGCACCAAGAAAATATCCCCCGCACCATTACACCACCACCACCACCAGCCTGAACTGTTGTTGCAAGGCAAGATGGATCCATGCTTTCATGTTTTTAACATCAAATTCTGACCTTATCATCTGATTGTCACAGCAGAAATCGAGACTTATCAGACGACAGCATTTTTCCAGTCTTCTATTGTCCAATTTTGGTGAGCCTGTGCGAATTGTTGCCTTAGTTTCCTGTTCTTAGCTGACAGGAGTGGCACCTGGTTTAATTTCTGCTGCTGTAGCTTATTCGCCTCAAGGTTTGACATGTTGTGCGTTTAGAGAAGCTCTTCTGCATACCTTGGTTGTAACAAGTGGTTATTTTTGTTACTGTTGCCTTTCTATCTAGCCAGAGTGGTTCAACCTTTTTTTTTTTCTCTGGCATCAACAAGGCATTTGCGCCCACAGAACTGCCGCTCACTGGATATTTTCTCTTTTCCAAACCATTCTCTGTAAACCCTAGAGATGGTTGTGCATGAAAATCCCAGTAGATCAACATTTTCTGAAATACTCAACCAGCCCGTCTGGCATCAACAACCATGCCACATTCAAAGTAATTTAAATCACCTTTCCTCCCCATTCTGATGCTCAGTCTGAACTGCAGCAGATCGCCTTGACCATGTCTACATGCCTAAATGCATTGAATTGCTGCAATGTGATTGGCTAATTAGAAATTTGCGTTAACGAGCAGTTGGACAGGTGTACCTAATAAAGTGACCGGTGAGTGTGTATACTGTATGAACAAAGTAAAAGTTTATGAATTCCTTTTGTGCTCTTTATTTCTTGCTGTCACAAAATACATTGTTTATTTTACATTAATATTTTTCCTAATTTAAATGAGAGCATTGTTGCATGTCTTACAAAGGTGCAGACACACATTGTGTGAAAGTTTTAATCTTAAAGTGCAATATTTTTTTTATTTATATTGTGTTATGTTGTTATCAGGGTATTAGATTACTTGTATCGTGATATGCAATTTTTGTAATATTGCTCAGCCCTAGCCTGTAGTGAAAGCATGAAAGAGGCTTGCGGGAATGGGATTTGCAGCCCGAGTTTGAGAAAACGGCAAATGTGAGCCATCCATATAATTAACATTCTGGTGGTGTTGCATGATGTCCATTTCTGCTGCGCTTGTGGTTGTCAGGAGTGCAAGAATAGGACCTTCAGGCAGACCGAGCCAGGACTGCTGCACGGCTTTTAGACTTGCACACAGATTAAATGGGCTAAAGTGTTTGCATCAGCTGAAAGGAGAATTTTTTTTATATTGAAGCTGACAAAAATATGTATGCTATAATTTAACAAACTATATTTAGAATATCCTATACATGGCATAATCTGAGGATTGTGGATGTAAAAGTTGGTATCTTGAAGATTGTAGAAAATTTGTGTGTGGTAGATAAGCTGATGTGTTTTTGTTACAGGGGAGACGGGTTTGGGAAAGTCAACCCTCATGGACACCCTGTTTAACACCAAATTTGAGGGCGAACCTACACAGCACAATCAGCCTGGAGTGCAGCTCAAATCCAACACTTATGAGCTGCAGGAGAGTAATGTCCGACTCAAGCTCACTGTGGTCAACACTGTAGGATTTGGAGACCAGATCAACAAAGAGGACAGGTAAGATACATATTTGCCCCCATTTGCAGTACATTGTTTTACATGTGGTCAGATGTGCTGTGTTATACCAAAGCACATGGATTAAGTTGACATCCTCGCATCTTTCTTTCACTTGCTTTTTTGTGCTCATTTTAAGCATGTAACACATTGATTGATTCAGTTTTTTCACATTGAGTACTTATGCTCTCAATGAGTACGATTACATGGACACCAATAATCAGATATTAATAGCTTAAGACAGTACTCTGATTAAGAGTCTACCATGTACACAGTGATTTTTGATAAATTAATCTGATTTAAGAATCATAATGAAACTAAACAAATCAGATTAAATGTGGAGTATGTCAATTTTAGTCGCAATATTGAAGTGCAGTACAGACATGAACACATACATACATACAGAACACATTAATTAAACAATTACCATCGTGCAGGATTTTACCATGTTTTGCAACAGGATATTTCATACACACACGACTGTTTGATACTATTCTCTGCACCTATTGAGTCAGTGAAGGACCACAGATACACACATCGTGAAATGCAGAGTTTTTTTTTCCTCATCGGCGTGTGGTATTAAATTCCATTAACACAACCCTCTTCCACCAGTCCTTAATTTGTATTCTTATTCAATACCTCAGTTTGTCAGGGGGGCATAAATGAAATATTCCTAAATGAAGGTGAGTGCTGAACTGTAGTTAAAGCTGAAAAATTAGAAATAAAACACCCGAAATTACATAAAACTGAGGAAAGGTGGATAGCGCTGTAACGCAACGACATTAATCCATCAATGTGCTATAACATGTAAACCGGATCATGAAAGGAACATTTAAAAAGCAACATGTAAACACCTTAATCATATTATTGTGTTATTCAGATTAAGGCAAATATTTTGATAACTAATATCCATGTAAACATAGTCAATAAAGTCTAAATGCCATTGCTCAGAATAGACACATGTCAGGTGGATTCAGGGTTGTAGTTTCTGTAACCAGTGACCAGTGGCCTCATGTATGAAGACTTGCGTTGAAATCATACTAAAACATTGCGTACGCACATTTACAGCAAAAAATTCAGATGTATGGAACACTGCTTATGCAGAATCCCACGCATATTCTCTTTGTACATCCGAATTAATGTGAAACTGAGTGCACGAGCGCAAAACCCCTCCCTGCCTCCTCCCCCGTGAGAATATGCTAATGACTCTACGTTGGCAAAACCAAACGAAAAAGCAATGGCAAAAGCAAGCAAAAAGAGAAACTTTGAACAGAATGTGAATTGGAGGTGCTCCTTTTGTTGGTAGACGGGAGAAAAACAGTGTTTTTTTGCAAGTTAGCCCTTCGGAATTAATAACAAGAGAAAAAGTGGGAGAGTTTAACTGACGTGGTTAACGTGGTTGGGTCTAAACATCGCACTGTGAGTGAGTTAAAAAAGAAATGGTCTGATGTAAAGGTGTAAAATTTTGTAGTGTCTATAGCAACATGAGTGGCGTAGCTCGTAAAGCGCATGGCAACATATTTTGACACGTTCGAGCATGAACTCGGTTCGAATCCAGCGTCTGAACTCATTCTTCTTTTTCCCCATTACATATCAGATTTTGCCTACTCTTCATTACGAGGAACACAAGTAGGAATCATTAATAAGTGTGTTTGTATTATGTTAAGCGCATTTGAGCATCATATTTTATTTGCACATTTACTGAATGGCGCCTTTATAGCAATGTGCGTGCAGTAGATCGCTCCGATTACATTGGGAAAACAGGCGATTGATGTAAATTGCGCTTTAATGTTTGGCTGGTCAACTGCATGGTATGGAAACCTTATATACCTGCTAGACATGCAGATGATCCTGTCCCATACAGCTGCTCAAAGATACTTTGTAGTGTGCAATTTGTCATGATTGCCTCTAGGAGTCGCCAGTGGAAATAAAACAAACACACACAAGAAATGCACGTACGCCTGACATGAATTTGACGTGGACCAACGCACATTACCAGTATCTTATAATCTACTTTTAGCTTATTTTATTAAAATGTTTTTCCTAAACATTCTCTAATGCCCTGTATTTTTAGGACTGAAGAGCTTTTGACATGCTTTTTAAATTTAAGAAAAAATGTTTTTCCTGCTTCTCTAGATCCGTGTCACATGACACTTATGTGCACAGAGCTCATTGTAATGTAGAGTTTGGATGGCATTGTGAAACCAGATATTTTTAGGGGGTGGAGTATTTCCTTATTTCTTCAGGTTTCTGATGCCGTAGGCTTTGAGTGCGGCAGTTGTTAGATTACCAGATATGACTAAAACAACATCTTTACTTAAATTGCCTGAAGATTTGTTTTCAGATCTATTCATAGATGCCACAAATGGTGTCAGAGCTTTATACATATTTGTTTTATGATGTTCACATTTAAGAGAAAATGCCCCTAAAGTTCTTTTTGGCCACGAACTCCTTCTAAACATGTCCTCACATTTTACTTTTCAACAGTTACAAGTCTATTGTGGAGTTCATCGATGCTCAGTTTGAAGCGTACCTTCAGGAGGAACTGAAGATTAAACGCACACTACACAGTTATCATGATACACGGATCCACGCTTGCCTGTATTTCATTGCTCCCACTGGACATTCGCTTAAGTCCCTTGACCTGGTGACTATGAAGAAGTTGGACAGTAAGGTAAGGAATATCATTCTATTTTTGAGAAATGCTTGCTCAGGATTTGAGCCAAATTTACGATGATAAACACACTAATACAGTGCACTATCATTAAACCAAATGATATTCTACTAGATTTTTAATGCCATTATAGCTAAATACTGTTCGCTCTGTGTCTCAGCATTATTTTCTGTTTGTGCAGTGCAGTTTTCATGTTTTCAGATGTGGTTTATTAAGCATTCAGCTGATGGCTATGCCATGTTTAATGTCACTGGAGCTGTGTAGATGGAGTCAGTGAAGGTCAGCTGTGTTATACTACATTCTCTTTCATCTGTCTGTGTGCTGCACAGACCCCCTCAACAAAGATGCTCTCTTGGACCTAAACAGTAGCCTTGTATGCTTGAGAAAAGATTTGTGTGTGCTCACACTGAGGGTAAACCTTTATTTAGAATATCTGCTTCAGTCTTACATTTCATCAGTTGTAAATTGTCAGAAACAGACGATGTGTATATCTAGTGGGCAGTCTACTGAGGGTAGTATTTAGATGGTGGTGTGGGTGGCAGGAGTGTAAAAATTGAGTGAGTGAGATTTGAGTACTCCGTGTGTGTGTGTGTGTGTGTGTGTGTGTGTGTGTGTGTGTGTGTGTGTGTATGAGGGTCAGAAGTGGAGGAGGGGCGTTCGATCCTCTCCCCCCACTAGCATGGTTACCATTCATCCTGCATGGTTAGTTTTAGCCCTCATGAGACCAGAGATTATCAGACTAATTCATCCAAAAATAAAATCATTTACTCCTCCTCACACTGTTCCCATATACCTGTCTTTCATGGCAAACAACAGATTCATTTTAGAAGAAGAGTCAGCAGGCCATTGTGTTTGACAGTAAATAGGACTGTGACTTATAGGCAAACTCTCCCTTAAATATCCTCTCTGAGCTGGTTTCAAAGTGAATAACAAATAGCTGCATATGGTGAATTCTGTTCCAATTTGAGGACGTTCAGATGTGAGAGAGCATTGGTTATGTAAGCCTTCATAGGGTTCTGTGAAGTTCATTTTAATTGCATTAGCTGCTTCTAATTAAAAATGTAAAAAGAAATCTCTTACAGCACTGCAGCAGCATCTGCATATACAGTAGAGTGAAATAAATGCAGTCTTTCCTGTAATCTGTGTACCATTTGATTTTGTTTGCTCAGGCATAAGAGATGAGCATCTATATTTATCTGGATTCAGACAGATGTTCTGAGGTTGATTACACCCAGAATTAGTTATTTACTGTGTGAGTGGTTGAAAGTTTACTGTCTGAAGGGGAAATATTTACTCACTAGGGCCATTTGAGGTTTTATATGTCAGTTTGCATTGATGTCATCCGACCACTGCTGTTCTGGCTTATTGTTCTCATCTTAATTCCTCTGCAAATGCATTGATTTAAATGTGCACTAAGCTAATTTCGACAAACAATGTTGATATTGGAAAGCACCAAAACAAGCACTCCCATAACCCAACAGGACCTCTTTTTACATCCCTGCTATAGTTACTAAACGCAGCTATTAGTGATGATTGGATGAAAGGATATAGGGCTGCACGATTAATCAAAAAAAGTTTGCGTTTTTTATTTTTTATTTCTCCATGATCTTAATTCAGCATTTCTACGATTCAGTCAATTATATTTTTAAGTTCGGGAGAAGCATAAAGCAAGTCTTCACATTGTTTTATGTTGCTCAGCAATGTGGACACCTCCAAAGGATGTTAAAAGTGTCACATACTGTATTTATAAGGCATAATTCACCCACAAATGTAATTTCTGTCTTAATGTAATGACTTGTTTGGGGCCGTGAAATTACACATGAGCTGTAACACTGTTTGTTCTCTTCCGAGAGGACGCTCTCGCTAATGGTGTCTGCTTTAGTGAACAGAACTTGCATATGCTGTGGATAACAGTTAATGAAATTAATGTTTTTTTCTTTCGTATCGACCACAGAGTATTGTGCATGAAAATAAATGTTTAACACTGTCACAATAACTACTAGCCTCTATAATGTTAAATGTAATGCAAGAATCTGAGTCTTATAATAACAAATGTCTCGTTTTACCAGTGGGAAAAAATGGTCTAATAATGTTTGTCAGTGACAATGACAAGCATATATCTCAAACAGTAATTCAACTTTAGAATTATGATTAGTTGTATTCTGATGTAATCACTTGATTGGCAATAATGACCGGGACAAATTTAAAGTCTACTCGAGTCTACACCAAGTCCAAGTCTATACAAAATTTACCATTTTAACCAAGAGTAGACTTACACCTATGCCTAATATTATTATTGTTCTTTTACCATATATTTGAGAAATAACTATAACAACAGACTTCTCATATTGACATTTTTTTACATTTAAAAAATTGTGAGAAAATTGTGAGCTTAATTTTAAAGAAAACAAATCATGATTCTTATTTTAGCCAGAATCGTGCAGCCCTAGAAGGGTATTTTGCAACTTGGGATACTGTGGTCAAAAGCATTTATAAATTATTGCTTGGTGCACCTTTAATTTGTGTTGACTTTTCTTAAATAGGTAAATATCATCCCCATCATTGCCAAATCAGATGCCATTTCAAAGAGTGAACTTGCCAAGTTCAAAATCAAGATCACGAGTGAGTTGGTGAGCAATGGCGTCCAGATCTACCAGTTTCCCACTGATGATGAGACCGTGGCGGAGATCAACTCAACTATGAATGTAAGGATCAAACTGCTGAATTTCATTCACATTCATCCCTGTTGTTGTGTGCATGAAGTATTATTTTAATTTGTGCTAAAAAATTGTTTTTAATGTGTAATAATTTTTTTAAATATATTTTTTAAATCTACCAAAAATTGAATGCAGATTTTTATGCTAAAATTATTTTTTGAACTGAACAACAGAATGCTAACCTTAAAAGATTGGATAACCTTATATGTCGCACTGTATATTTCAGGCAAAAATAAAATAAAAACATGCAGCTACATTAGAATAGGTTTTCAAGTCTTAAATTCAGTTACTGTGAGCAATATGAGAAAAAATTCCTCTCACAGGATGTTGGTAATTATCTAATTACTTTAGAAAAGATTTAAAATGATGTGGTTTTCTTTGACTTAAAGGGGATAGATTTCCCAATTAATTACCCAAAAATGTAACTTGTAGCTTAATCCTCCACCTGTTATTCTAAACCTGTTTGAGTTGTTTTTTCCTGTTGAATACAAAAGATATTTTGAAGAATGTTGGAAACTGGTATCCATAGGTATGTCAATGGCTTCTGATTTTCAACTTTCTTTAAGATATGCTCTTTTGTATTCAACAGGAAAAATGAACTCCAAAGCAGTGTTGTAACCACTTGAGGGTGATTTTTCTTTTTTGGCTGAACTGTGCCTTAAAAATCTCTTGTGTTAAATGTCATATATGCACTATGTTCTGTTTTGCTTGGAGACTAAGCGTTTTCTACTTTAGTGCTTGGCCAGTTCTTATTTCATGTCATAGTTTAGCAGTTTAAGTGAGAAAGAGTCCATATGGCGTCCAGCTTTTCCTGCCTGTGTTTGCTCACAGGAATTGACACCACAATAGGAGAGGCATTCTTCATCAGTTTACTCTCACAGCATGATTGTACTGTGGGAAAGACACACTACAGATGAATGAATGTCAGTCTCTCCACACAGCCCATGCCTACAGGGTTACTGCTGGGTTCATCCAGTACTGGCTAACCATTGCAAATAAAGATAGCTGACCTTAGGACCATCCTGCTTGTTTTAAGTGGGATGTTCCCTCATATATTTGTCTCAGTGATTTTGTAGATCATTCTTGTCTTTTAGACAAGACCATTTTAGAATAGACCATTTTGTTGTTTTTACTTTTTTATTCTGAAAGTCATTCTCACAGTTTTTTGCATTTATTTAATAAATACACTAAAATGACGATATTTTGGTAACTTGTAATACAATTTTGTCATGATTTGAAAATATTCTAAATAGTAAACCATTCTTGTGAATCCAAATTAGAATATTTAGCCGTAATTATTACTTATCTTAGTTATAAATGTTGTAAACAGTTTTAATATTTTTTGGATTTTTAATTTTTACTTTTTCCCCAAGAGTCTTGTATAACTGAAAGTTAAAAAATTGCATTTTTTTGCTAAATAAAATCGTTTGTATCATTACTCTATCACTTTTGAAATACCCTTTGCCAAAACCGGTCACTAAACATTTCTTTTTATTTGCCCCTTTATGTATCTACATTGAATTAAATGCTGTGTCATCATGGGTATTTCTGTAAGAATTAAAGTGTTTCTGTTAATAATTTGTTTGTGGGTTTTTTTTCTGCAGGGTCATTTGCCTTTTGCAGTGGTGGGAAGCACTGAGGAAGTGAAGATTGGGAACAAGATGGTGCGAGCACGCCAGTACCCATGGGGAACCGTCCAGGGTAAGTGCCGGTCACGTCTTCTAGAGGAAATGACACTGGGCTCTTCCCTCTGTTTGGCCGTGGCCTCTTTGTTCAGGATGTCCAGACCCAACCCATCCCTGGCTTTCTCTAGCATTTTGTCTGGACACTCCCACGCTACTCGCAATTTCTTTTCTCTTTTTTTCCACAGCAGGGTGTAATGTTAATGTATTAGATCTGTCAAAAAGAGAAACTGAGGTGTAATTTTCATTTGACTTATGATTGTGGAGCTACAGGAAAATGACATCAGCACAGTGCTGATTTGTTGTTTCATAGCATACACAAAGCCATCACTGGTTGCTATTCTGAGAGGTGAAGTGAAAGGCAACAGGGAAGAAGAAATGTATTTTTTAAACTTTTTTTTTTAAAGATCGTCTAAAAACAGAACTGGTTAAACATCTACTTCATGCTCTACTACTGATTATTTTTGTTCATTCTAAATAATGCAGCCTTGTTAAGAAGACTTTTTTTTTTACTTTTCTTCCCCATTCTGAACTGCAGCAGATCGTCTTGACCATGTATACATGCCTAAATGCATTTCAGGCTGGTGTTGGTGTAATGGTGCGGGGGATATTTTTTTGACACACTTTATGCCCATTAGTACCAATTGAGCATCGTGTCAACGCCACAGCCTACCTGAGTATTGTTTTTTTATCCCTTTATGACCACAGAGTACCTATCTTCTGATGGCTACTTCCAGCAGGATAACGCGCCATGTCATAGCGCCAATCTTCTTAGACTGGTTTCATGAACATGACAATGAGTTGTTTCACATCATGGATGTGCAGCTAGCAAATCTGCAGCAAATGCATGATGCAATTATATCAATATAGACCAAAATCTATGAGGAATATTTCCAGTACCTTGTTGATTCTATGCCACAAAGGATTAGGGCAGTTTTGATGGCAAAAGAGGGTCCAACTCGGTACTAGGAAGGTGTACCTAATAAAGTGGCCGGTGAGTGTAAAAATACAGTAAAAAAACGTAATATTGTTTGTTGCTATATAAAAAAATTCCCTAACAGGGGACATTTATTGGTTAAATACAGACAAGAAGCATGGATGAGGAAAAACAATACATTAAAAACAAAGTCTGAAAAAAGTTTCAAATATTTTCTACTGAATAATGCTGCGTTTATTTATTAATAATAAAACGGTAATAATGAAACCTTTTACACCTTAAAATAGCATGCAACGTGATTCTTCAAACATCATTGTTTTCTGCTCAAACCCACAATTTCTCTAATTATCTGGTTTAAAGGGCATTTGGACATTGTATGTTTCCAGTACAAAGATGTTCATTAGTCATGTTCCATGAGTAAGTCAAGCTCATTTCATTCTCAATTCATCCTGTCAGTCTTTATTATTGTGTGCTGAACGCATGCAGTCATTTGATGTGGAGCTTTACAGCAGCAGTGCAGTGACTCCTCAGGCTGTCTGTGACATCACTCTGAATCTCTCATCCTGCTCCCTTTCTGCTGGCACACAAGGCTGCAGGGCAGATCACGTGCTCCTACTTAATTTAGCTTCCTGCAAGCCTGACCTGACTGAAGAAAAATATTGGATATGTGATGTTTTCATGCTCCGTGTCTAGTTTACTTCAGATTTATGACAGAATTTATTCTACTACAGGACATGGATTAAAACCATATTGAAAGGAATGCAAATGTATTTCAGATAGCAAGCCTGTAAGAAAATCTCGCTATCTGCATTGGCTACAAACTAGAATATTTAAAGACCTGATATTTATTGAAAGTTCTGCTTTGTTCTTCGCTTGGGGTTAATTTGATATGCCTGAGTAGTTTTGCTTTTAGGGAACATCCATTTTAGGTAAATGCTAACAAGCTCTGCATGCTTTTCTCTTAATAACAAATGAACATTCAGCTCTAGTCTCTTCTTTAATAAGAAAGAAGCCATTAAAGTTCATTTAGAGCATTTTATAATATTTTATCTAACATTTACAGGATATGTTCACACAGATGCAAAAACAATAGCTAGAGTAAAATAAACCAATTTGACAATCAGTTATTCTAGCAGGGAGTCAGCGGATATTTCCAATGGAGTAAAATCATCTTTTTGGCTGCAATCATGCCAACCATCAAGGCTTATAGCTGAGTTGCGACAAATATCATCCATTTTATTAGAATAGCCGAAAGTAGTCAGACTGTGGTCAGGTTTAATATATTCTGTTAGGAGGAATGAGTACTTTTTGAAAGGCCATTAAGCATCCATCTATCAATAACCAAGAAAACCTTAGGAAATACAGGCAATGCACACAAAACTCTTAGAAATCCTAGTCTACCACATCTGGCCTGGCAATCACCCAGAACTCCCTTGTGGAGCCTTGCTTGAAACTGAAGGTAGCCACTCATTATTTATTTAGCAAATGCAATAAAATGTATTTGTTTATGCTGTTGCAGTAGCTGCTACAAGGGAATGTGGTGGTGTCAGAAGTACTAGATCACAGCTGCTCAGAGTTCATAGAGGTCATGTCTGTTTGTCTTCGGCTTGCGTCAATGGTGTAAATAGAAGAATGCTAGCAAAACTTATATATTTCATAAAATTAAGATATTACTATAACCGCGTTTAGGAAAATAAGCTGTTTGAATTTTCTGCCCAATTTTTCTAGCTCATTATACATTCCTGCACTCTCAAGTTATGTCAATTATTTGTCTGCAACTTCTCTATAAATAACCTCCCTCTTTAACTTTTAAGTTTCCATCATTAAGGGTAATTAATGGGTGTGGCATGTACAAGAGATTTTTCTTCTTTTTCCGTATCTCAATATATACTCTTTAAATAAAGGTTTCAAAAGTTTTATTTTGTAGCAATGCCATAAAAGAAACATTTTAGGTTCCCATAAGAATCTTATAGTGTCCTTTAAAAAAAACTTCAATAATTGAGGTTTAGTTCACCCAAAAATGAAAATTCTGTCAGTAATTTCTCACACACTTGTTCCAAACCCCAGAGACCTTCACTCATACTGAACACAAATGAAGATGTTTTAAGATGAATTTAAGAGCTCCCTCATTCTCCATAGAAAATAAGGTTCCAGAATCCCGACTTGTTTAAAGAAAAAAAACATCCTCATTCAGGTGTCTTCAGTGGTTCAATCAAAATATTGTTAAACTATGAGAATACTTTTGTGTGCTTATAACAAAAATAATGACTTTATACAACAGTTTCTTCTCCTCAGTGTCAGTATAGAGTGCTCATCCATTAGTGATGTGCACTGATCTATACCCTGGATGCCCACACACGACTTTCTTTAAAAACAAAGCACAGGTGCATCCATGGTGTATGTGACACACACACACAAAGGCTGCGTCCGAAACCGCCTACTACTAAGTAGGTACTGCATTTGAACTTAAAGGTACTACTCGGCCGTTAGAAAAGTATGTTCTATACAGTATGAATGGAAGACGTCTGAATGGAATTTGGATGCACTACATCCGCCATTTTGTCATGGCCACGTGACCTGCCTGTGTCAGTTGCGTTGCTTCATTGATTCCCATTCATGAATTCTCTCGAGGGACATCATGGGATAGCGCAGCATACATGGGATGCGCACTTCAGAATCTCGCCGGAAGTAGTGAGTCATCCGGGTATTTCTCACATACTGATTTTTGAATTTATAAATTCGGACATACCACTCAGCTCACATACTGATTTTAGCATACGTATAGTATGGAACTATGCGGTTTCGGATGCAGCCAAAGTGTACAATTTTGCAAACATGCAACCTATGCTAACTTTATTCAACAGTTTTGTCTGCTCAAAGACTGTTTTGATTTATGTGAGCGCAAAAGTATTCTTGTGGCTTGATAATATTCTGACTTAATCACTGGTAGGTATAGGGTCTGTTTTAAGGATGATTTTATTTGACCTTTATGAATTTGGAAACTTGCAGTCTAAGAAGGACAATTGCATCTAAAATACATTATTTGTATTTCAAAGATGACCAAAGGTCTTGAAAGCTTTCAAAATAATAGGAGGGTGAGTAATTTAATAATAGAATTTTAACCCTTTAAAATGATCTATCAAACCCTTTTGCACTAAATAACATTTTGTGGGATATGAAGGTTCCATGGGTGATAGTTCTGGAACCCTTTATTTCAATAAATAACTTTTTTATTTTCAGGAATGTAAGACTATGGTGATTAATACTCACTGAATATGATGTGTTTTGTGTTTTTCAGTGGAGAATGAGAATCACTGTGATTTCGTGAAGCTGAGAGAGATGCTGATCAGGGTCAACATGGAGGACCTGCGGGAGCAGACCCACACTCGCCATTATGAGCTTTATCGCCGTTGCAAACTGGAAGAGATGGGATTCAAAGACACTGACCCCGATAGCAAACCTTTCAGGTGAGGGTAAAGTCAAAATCACACCAGCTGAGCTGAAAAAAGGCTCCACCACACCCTGTCACATGAAGATCTGGATTTTGGGTATTAATGAATGATTAAACATCTGTTGTGTGTTGTTTAGCCTTCAGGAAACATATGAGGCCAAGAGGAATGAGTTCATGGGTGAGCTTCAGAAGAAAGAGGAGGAGATGAGGCAGATGTTTGTCCAGAGAGTCAAAGAGAAGGAGGCAGAGCTGAAAGAGGCAGAAAAGGAGGTACAGTTTGTTATTTTGTAGCAGTTTTGTTACAAATGTTCAATGCTTGGTATGTAGCAATTTAGCTAGACTGATTTATACAAGCAAATCCAAAAGAGTACCTTCAGTTCAGTAAAAATGTTGACTTAGGGTGCTTTCACACCTGTGAATCGATTCAGTTGTTCCGAAACGGAGATTACAAATGTTACATTGTTGCTCTTTGCTCTTGGAGCGGTTCGCTTTCACACTCCAAAGTTTCTAATCGGACCAAAAGAGCTAAAACAAGTCATGTGCGAGTAAACTCTCCTCACATTGGTCAGAGTGTCAGGGTTTATTTTGCAGCCTCCCGCTCAGGAGATGTGGTGGTTTGGTGGTGATTGACAAGGTGCGCGAGTGTGCGACGTATCTGAGGAGAGATGCGGTGGGGAGGGGTGAGAATGGTGCGCGACGATGCCTATTTGAGGACCGGGAGGGAGATGCGAGATTATCGGGAGATCATCATTCGTTTGCGGGCATCCGGAGACTCACGAAACTTCCTGCCCTACTCATAATTCTCTCTTATTATCTCTCTTATTATCATATAGCTGTAAGCCTATTACATATCCATAAAACACTGTGATATAACCGCGCTCGGATCGGATTGCATTCTCACTGCAATCGAACCGCTCCAGGGTTCGTTTCAGTCAAGCCGAGACCACCTCACTCAGGCGGTCTCGGAGCGATTACTTTGGCGCGGAACAGAGCGCGATTGCCCTGTTCACATACGCCAAACGAACCGCGCTAACTGGGCAAACGAGACAGGTTCCAAAACAAAAGTATAGGTGTGAACACCCAAAAACCATGGGTAAATTATAAAATCTGACTTGCATGAATTTCATTTAATTTCATTTATGTAAAAATAGGCTCTAAGACAACAACAAATGCATATTAACATACATATAAACAGAAACAAATCTGAGTATAAAGCAAATATGTGGGTGCTTTGCATGTTTTGCTTGCTTGACATTAATTGCAGTATAAAAGTTATTTTGGAATATCAGCTTCATCATGTTTCAGATGATGACAAATGGATATTATACAAAATGTATTATACTAAAAACAGTTGTTCTATAACCGGACTATAAATTTAAAGCTTTGGTAGTTATTCAACAGCTAATGTACTGACTATGGTATTCACAATACAGCTGCATGAGAAGTTTGATCGCCTCAAGAAGCTTCACCAGGACGAGAAGAAGAAACTGGAGGACAAGAAGAAGTCTCTTGATGATGAGCTGAACGGCTTCAAGCAGAAAAAAACTGCTGCCGAGCTGCTGCAGTCACAGAACCAGCAGCCAGGGGGCTCCGCCACACTCAAGAAGGACAAAGAGAGGAAAAAGTAAGTATTCCCTCCATGAGACATCAGAAACTCATGATGGAGACGAATGGGTGTGTGTAAATGTGTAAGGCATTTGACCAGTTACTCATATAAGATTGCAAAGGTCCTTAACTACATCAATACCAAAACTGTGAAATTCTTAAGGGTGCTTTTGACTGTCTAGGAAAAAAATAAAGCTGAAAGGTATAGGTTGAATGTACATGGTAAGAGGAGAGAAAACAAATAGTTTAATTCACTGGAATCGAAGCTACATTTATTGTAAATGCATATTTATTGTATGTAAAGCTAAAGAATAATCATTGCATCCTTTATCCTTTCCAGAATGTTACACAAATATAAGCTAGTTTTACAACGTTCTAATTTTATATACTTTTGGCTAAATTTTATGGTTTGTAAGAGGATTACATTATGAATGGTACAATAGTGTATTCCCATTTAATTCAAGGCTTGTGCGATTCAATCTAAATCAAAGCTCAAATCAATTGCTTCAATGTTGCTGGTAATCACTCATGGTTGTGTATTCAAGCTGATTTGCTGCATTCGCCTGAAAATTATGTCGGAAGAAGATATTTGCACTGACAAGGTTCATGTTTTTGTTGTTTTTAATCCCAATCTTATCCAATTTTATAACCATTTTGCTCCTTAAGCCTTTTGTATGTCTTCACAAGGCAGCAGCTGAAGAAAAACATTTCTCACAGCTATGAGATGCTGAGGAAACACCGTTTATCATTGATCATCCTGCATTTTAGATGATACTTTTTGTTTTTGCATTGTCAAAAGTATCAGAACAGGCCCCTTTAGTCCAAATTTAGATTCTTACGGCCATTGCATTAAACTCAATGGTGTCTTACAATTTCACTGTCCCATGTCTGTTATTTAGTTCTGCACATCATAGATATCTAGAGTACGGTTTTCCTCAGTTCTCATGCAGGCCAGGGCATGTACAAAATTCAGTGTGTGATTGTTGCATGTCAGGTGTTTTGTCCAGTTTGTGCACGTGTCATGTACGTCTCATCCATGCTGTTTTCCAGTTAACTCCTCACCTGCTCCCAGTCCTGCATGAGACACCTTATGCTGGTAAGGCTTTCAAAGTATCTCTTAAACCCTCATTCGCACGGGGGAAACTAAATTACGGAAACACATGTAACGATGATGGTCAGCTAGAGCCATCCTGTAATTGCAGAGCACTGCAGTAGTCATTACGGCGTTACTATTCATTCCTAAACACCTAAACACGGGCTGTGTGAAGAATGTCTCTGTGGTGGCAGCAGGGGATATTATGTCATCAGCGCCAGGCGAGAGTTTCTAGCTCTCCCTGTGTGATGTGCAGCCATCTGCCATCTGAATCCATAACAATCTGCTGTTGTTTGCACTCCATTGCTCATCCACATCTCGCACAAAAGAGCCTTTAATAAAGTCTGCTCCCACAGCTGGGTCACACTTGGCTATAAAATAATGCAGTTGTTGAGTGAGCTTTACTGTGCCACAGACTAATTTGTAATAGTTAACACAATTGTTGCAGCTTGGATTTCCGGCTCAGCCGTTTAGTTCCAGATATAAAAACTTCATGGTTTTTTCTCTAAGGACATACATTTTTAATGTTAAATTATTGATAAACCTTTAAACACAGACTTATGAACTCAGACGTTAATTACTGCGTTACAAATTCCAGCGTAATGGATGTGACATTTGCAGTAAAAACTCAAAACATAAATTCACAGAGAAAGTATTTGTTAACATTATATTGAAACATCTGTTTATATATTCCCACAACAACTATCCACAGAGTTATGGGATCCGAAAAATATCAATTTGTAAACATTTTTTAAATTTTAAACGAGGAAAATATACGTGTTCGGGATTTGATCAAATAAGTTAGTAAGTTTACAGTATACAGCATACTTTGTAGAAATTGTGAATTAAACTGCACAACCCAGTGAAACAATGTTAATCTAAAGGATAAGAGTTTGCTCTCTAAAGAACAAAAATAATTTATTACATTTATATTTTACATTTTTTGTATTTATGAGGAAAAAGCTTCATTATGGATGTGACAAATGTGAAATTTCCACTTGTGTGACTTTGGTGAATCAAATATAATTGTTTGAAAACATTGACAGAGACATTTTTGAGTATTTGTAAAGTATCTTAAAATACAAGCCTACATGTACAAAAAAAAAAACGTAGAAACGGTTTTGCTATTTTGGTGAACTTTTTCATGGCAAGGTTGACATTTGCATGGAATTGCTCACATGCTTTTGTTGAAGACCTCTATTTACAGTTATTACATGTAATTTAATTGTACATTTAAAAAAAGCTTAAATGTTTAATGTTCTAGCCTTCGACTAACCTCTTAAAATACAGCAATATTTGTGTTTGTAATTTGAAATTAAGTCATAATGGGCATGTAGCCCATGTAGAAAAAAGTTCAAAAATCCATTAGTTTGCTTTTTAGAATTACAATTTCTTGTAACTTTGCACTTTACTTGCCTTCATGTCATCGAAAATGTTCACATCATTTAGTCAGAAAAAAACAAAGTAATTAAATACAGTCCAGGATTTTTCCACATAGTGGATTGCAATGGGGGCCAAATATATTGCAACTTTAAAGGGCTCCCTGCCGAGGCTGTTATTAGGGAAGAACACCTCTGAATGCTAGTGTACCTGTCTGCGGACTGCAAGAGAGGGGCGTAACTTGTAGTAAGTTAGAGGCGTAACTTGTAGTTATCAAGATCCCATTGTACCATGTCACAACGAGATGTTGTAGGCAAGATAGCATAAATATTTGCCAGAGAACATTTTCAGCAAATATTTTCTTGAGTTTTCTCCAAATGTATCCACAACCAATTCATTTGATAAATTCCTATATTCATTCAATTAGCAACTCCATTCGCTGACCTCTTCGTTAGCCTACTCTGAATCGCCTCCTGTGATTGCAAATGACAGTACAATGGCGAGCGCTTTAAGGATGTAAACCTTAGCAACTTGCGGCTGTATGTTAATAACTGTGATGGTTGGGTTTAGGATTGGGGTAGGTGTAGATATTAATAACTGTTTTAACTGATGGGTACAGCACCATATTGCAGACAACATAGTTTTGACAGGTGGGTCTCTGTAATTTCAAATTAAGCCTCGACTACATGTTACGCCCCTTCATGTTACGTCCATCTTGCAGTTCACAGGCACATTCTAATCTCTGAATGCAACAGCTGCCCAATCAAAATAAGGGACTCTGGAGAGCTGTGCTATAATAAATAATAAACACATTGTTTTATATGGACTTAATAAATAAAGTTTTTTTCACATTTTGTCTTTTACCTCCAATACATTTTGCAGTGTACAATTGAAATCATAGCTGATTGACTTGATTCATTGCCCACAATGCTATAAGGATAACTAGAATCCCAATGGATTTTTAAAAAACAGCACAGCAGAATATACAATATAATCGTTTTCATTTGGCACAAAAAGAGAACAATTCGAAGCCTTACCACATACACTCCTGAACCTGCTTTCAAGTGTTTGAACAGATGCACGACTAACTCTTTTGATTATCCCCCCCTCCTTTTATTTGTTCATATGTGTTAATACAACAATTTTCAACCTGTAGGGAACAATAACCTTCCTTCTCTCTCATTTCCAGTTCAGGATTCCTGTAGAAAGTGCTCCCCCTGCCCGCTGTGAATGAGCTCTTCCCTCCTCAGTGTTCCTGAGCCCTGCTGTTCCCGTTCCCTTTCCCCTTGCTCCTGTCCCCCAGTCTCATGCATAACACAGCTGAGGAGGGATATTAACTGTGAATGGAGTCCTCCTTTAAATTGTTTAACTCCTCCTTTTTTATATTTTTAAATGCCATTGTTTCTTCATTGTTTTACTTGCGGTAATGATACATGATGCTTTGATTTGCATGACTAGTGTATGATTTAACTTTAACTTGAGTGGCTACTGTTGTGGATGTGCTGTAGTGAGCACACAAGTTAAAATGAGACAAATCAAATTTTATTAGTAATCAATTGTCACTAGAATAACCGTAGGTTAAATGAGCTGCTTTCACTTTAGTCATGTAGTGAGATTTGGGATATTTTTATGCTGTTAGTAGTAAAAAAAAATAGTGGTTTTGTCTCATTTTAGCTTATGCATGTTATACAGATGCTGTCTGGTCATCTGCAGCTGTACCTCAATGTTTTTTCCCCATAAACATATTATTGCTTGTATTGTAGAACAACTTCACATTGGCACATTTCATCTAACTATAAGCACCTTTTATAGTTTATTTTTGATGACTATTTTTCACAAAATTTAAATAAAGTATCATTACCTAATCATTAAATATAAATTGGAAAGAAATACTTTTTTTGTATTCATAATAAAGGGCATTCTTTCAACTTTAAACTGTGGGAAATCATTGTGTATGAATATCAGACAATACTGGATTATATTATCACATTATTCATTTGAGTGAAGACTTTTTTCCCCCCCTTTAAGGAGAAGCTGGACTGTCTCCTGAAGAAATGTACTGTATTTTAATGTTAATCGTACAATAGTAATTACTTGATCATACATATAAATTTACTCTTATTATTATTATTATTAATTATTATTACAAGGTTTGTAGCCTATCAAATAGGTGCTTGAACACCACCATGAGTCAAATTCCACTGAGCAATTTTTATGTATAACCAGAAGATGAGGATAGTCTAGTTTTGGGTTTCTGCAGAAAATTACATTTATTTTCGGTCATTTAAACAAGTTGCAAATGATATATTCTAATCTACAATTAAAACTGTACTGCACTGGTCTTGTGCTGGATGACATTGTTTTGGATGGATTCTGGATGCTGGTCTTTCAACAGGTGGTATGGATGTGATTTTTGTCTATTAACTCTCTTGCTTCCTCCAGTCTCCCTGCTCACTGCCATGTGTGTATTTACTTTCCTTTGCAGTAATCCCTGGCTCTGCACTGAGTAATATGGTTTTGATAAGGGACCAGGCCCAGACTCTTTGGTTAACCGGTTCCGCAAGGCTAAAGGGGGCAGTGTGGACCTGGCCCTCTGAGCTCCTGATAGATCATCTTTTGTGTTTTAGTTGTGGCCTTTTCTGCTGCTTTTACTAATGCTATATTTTACTGTGCTGCCGCAAACTTCGCTTAAAGGGCTAGTTTTACTAAAAAATGAAAATTGTCATTGTTTACTCAAATTGTTCTAAACCTGGGTGAGTTTAATGTCCACTAAATGTGAAGTAAGATGTTTTGAAGAATGTGGGACTTTCCTATGTTTTTCCATCTACCTTTTGGCTTAAAAATATCATATTCCACAGCTTAAACAGATGTGAAGAGTGACAGTTTTCGTTTTTGGGTGGACGATCCTTTTAAAACTGGGCTTATTTGCTGTGTTTGTTTTGTGTTGTGCTTTGTCAGTAATATTAACTTTTCAGAAATATGGGGAGAGAAATGTAAATGAACCTGTTCACATCAAGCAAAATCTAAAAACTATAATAGAGATTAAAAATATTCTAAAATTTTTACAACACACAGTTGAAAATAAAGGTTCTTTATTGGGTTTAGTGGATTATGAAGATGCTTTATCAGCCATGGAAACTTTATGGTGAGCAAAAAGGTTAATGTTCATCTTATTAAAAAAAAAAGGTTCTTTAAAGAACTGTTGACTGAAACGTGCTTTGGGGAACCCAAAGTAACCACTGCCAAGTTTTTCCCGGGAGACCCATATTTTAACATTTAAAGTTCTTAATGACCTCACTCCTTTTAAAAAAATAAAATAAATAAATAAATAATACTAGCATTTATATATTAGGTTTTTAACAATTGCAAAAGATGCATAAATATTAAAAACATAACCTTAATGTTGGCTAGATTTTTAAGTACACTGTAAAACTCAAAAAGTTAAGGTAACTCAAACTTTTTCTGAAACCAATTGCAACAAACCATTTAAGTTCAAAAACGAATCCTAATACTAATCCTAGTACTGTAAACTCAAACTAATTGAGAAAAAGAAGCAATTTAAACACAGTAAAACCCAATAAATGAAGAGAACCTATACCAACTGAGTACTGTAAAACCCAATAAATTAAGGCAAGTCAAACCGTTTGAGGAAACCGATTGCAAAAAACCATTTGAGTTACACTAATCTTTGAGTTCTGTGAGCTTACTCCATTTAAGTTGAAGCAATGTATTATTTAAATAACTCATTACCTTCAACACTGAGTTCAAAACTCTTTTCAAATGAGTAGAATTAACTTTCAGTAATTTGAGTTAACTGCACACTTCATTTGATACAGTTGACTGTTTAGTTTTACAGTGTAATAAAATATGTTGGGTCACTTACAAATAAAGAGTTCAGATGCAAAAAAACTCTCAGCGCCGTCTGAAATTTCCATTGAAAATGAACATGTTTATCAGCTTTCTTTGTGTTCAGATATTTTACTTAAAAAATCAGGTTAAGGGCTTATTCTTTGCCATAAAAGTGATGTTACTGAACATAAACACAGAAGCCTGATAAAAATTTTAGAGGAAAATTTCAGATGACATTAAGAGGTTTTTGCAAGATTTAGTTTCCGAATATTTGAACATTGTTTTTAGAATGTATGATGTTTATTTTTATTTATTATTTGCAAAATGCATCAATCTTTGTTGACCCCTAGTGGGGGCCGTGACCTTCAGGTTGGGAACTACTATTCTATGGCAGAACCCCATTTTAATGATCTTCATTTTGAAGAGTGCACCACATAATGAAAAACAGTGTGCTTGGAAATATCGACAGCCAATCAGAATCCATCCTGCTAAAGCTCATTTAAAGTGGCAGACAACCAAAGCAGAATGTGCTTAAGATAAACCGAATATTATCATGCATCAGTGTAGGTTTTTATATATAGTGATCATTCTTGGTGTGAACAAACCTTCGTGAACCCTGTCCCATTTAAACGATTTGATTTAAATGGTTTAGATTAGGTTGCACCCGACAAGCTAAATGGAATGTTGCATCGAGCAAATCCATGCATGTTAAAAAGCAAATTGTGCAAAGGATGCTTAATGCAGTTGAAGCAGGGCAGAAGGACGGCGTGTTCCTATACGCCCCCACATTCCCAATGCTTCATGCTTTTGGCTGGCGAATGAAAAATCGGAGTGACCATTTCCAACTGACTGATGTGAACTTGTCTTCTCACTGGCGCTGATTGGTTCGATGCCCTCCTGAAACTCTCTAATCTGCGTTTGTGTCTCCTCTCTTTCTCTAGCTTCTTTTAACTCTGTCTTGGCCACCTGTTGGAAGAGGGGATCGCAGCTTCCACAAGGACTAAGCATCCGCTCTTCTTCCTGTCTTTGTCACTCCGTCAGCCTTGTTTGAATGTTTTATTTAATTTTTTTTATTTCATGCTGTGTGCCCTGTTAAACATGGCCTTATGTGGGCTTAACATGGTATTTTTCAACAAATATTAGCTCTGTTTTTTAATTGGGGTTTGCTAAGCAGTCCCTCTTTAGTATTTTTACAGGCATCATTTGCTGGTGACAACAGAGCCAAAGCTCTGGTAGAAAGGCTGTGAAGTAAAGAAGTGTTTAAGTTTAGCTTTTTGCATCTGTGATATTGCCTTGCAGTCTCAATCAACCAATCATTTAGTTGCTTTTACGAGTTCATGTGTTTGTGAATGAACCTGCATGTGAAGATTAACACAGTTTTAACTGTGAAGAATGAATGCATACTAACTTATTTGCAAACTCTACATTTTAGGATGTGAACTAAGTTCAGCAAGATTATCTTTAATAAGACTTTTTGACACACTGGCTGTGAATATTGAGCAAATCCAAAGACAATGGGCCTGAACGTTATTGCTTGCTAATGCAGCAAAATCTTAAGTCAGAGATATTTAAGGAGTTTATTTGTTTTATCTGAGAGCATGAGTTAAATAGAAGCAAAATCTGAGAGGTTTGTATTGTATGTTTTGTAATACCCTATACATTTTACAGCACACATTTCAAGTCTTAAATGGTCACAGCAATATAGTTACACTTATTTTAATTATTATCTTCGAGAGTAATAGAGCATCTATTGAAATACCATGTAGGTCACATTCAGTGCCATTTTTATATTCTTTATCTTCTGTTCTTCTGCATGGCCTGAACATTTATATTTAATTTCTTATTTCGTTTTGTTTATATAGAGAGTTAATCTTTACTTTGACATTTACTCTTCTTTGGATCATTTTATTACATGTATTTATTCTAGGTACAGTGTGCATTCAGTTTCTAAATGGAACTTCCCATTTTGCCAAATATTGCATTTAGATATACGTCAAGGTTTTTTTTTTTTTTTTTGTCATTTAATGCAAGTCAGTTACGAGGTACAGATGTTCATGCATATGTGCAGTACATATACTTTTTTTCAGGACCTATTTTGCGTATCAGTGTTGAGACATGTTTCAATGATTATTGACAAGTGACTGTTTTCTGTGTAAAACATTTTGAGTGTCAAAACTGGTCTACATTTTTCTAGTCACCTTCTACATTTTCCCATTTATGTCAATTACCCTCATCCTTGTAATACCAGAAATTTGTGAAATATTTATCTGTAGTAAGATTCCATGGTGTACATTTTCAATAAAATGACAATAAATCAATTCTTATTTGCTTTTTCATAATTTACCCTTCAAATGACCCTGATATATACATATCATTGTTTAGGTTTATTGTTTAGTTGTTTACTACTTTACTGTAACTATTTTGTTACATATGTATATAACAAGTTAAGCTCAAAATAATATTATAAAAACGCTCTATAAAAGAGTTAAGAAGATAAAATATATGAAAACATTTATTTATTCTACTAGCAAGATCAAATTAACAAAGGTTTTAAATGCTAGGGGTTTGGCGTGACAGTAGAAGTGAATTGTGTTTCAAAAACCTAGTCAGCTGCCTACCAAGACAGCATTTTCGCCCCTCATGGTGGCATGATTTGAACCAAAACAGCATATGAAGCAGATTTCTAGCGATATTTTTATTGTCAGGCTCTGAAACAACCCAACAGCGCGTTCTGCGTTTCCGCCAGTGGCCGCGGAGAGGCGCTGTCACGCAGGAATCATCCGCTATCGGCGCTCCGTCACTGGACTGTACAGTGTGTCCTTCGTCCACGCACGACAATAACATTTAGAAAGCCGTTGTTCAGTATATTCGATAAACATGTCCACTACGACCGGTGGCGGAGAGTTCGGCAACCCTCTGCGGAAATTTAAGCTGGTTTTCCTGGGCGAGCAAAGCGGTAAGTGTTAAGATATGTATGTGTATGAGACGTGGACAGATAAATGGACAGGCCAGGTGAGAGGATGCACTAGGAGGAGAGATGTTACCTAATAAACACGTAAACAATGATCTGACAGATTTTATATTTATGAGGAAAAACACTTGAAATTCAGTAAAAGGTTACCGAAAACTATTGTCACGAGCAGACTTCATGTGGTGTTGAACAGCTTTGCAGGATCCGTGCTGTAACTTAACGTTATTCGACCGACACAAGCTGTCTTTATCAACTCTTTCATGACTTATTTAATAACTTGTATGTTCATTTTACATCTTTTCTCTCTGTGTTTTTGTATTCTTGTTTGTAGACATCGAGGGGATACATCCAGTCCTTGTATTAGCATGTTTGTGTTGTCTGTACACAATAGCGATCTCCCAGCTTTAAGGCTTTTTGTGTATGATCACATTCATCACAACAATATAACACCGATAATGCCAATTACACTGTATTAGAACTGTAAATAAACGTAATAAATTATTTATAAAAGGACAGCGCTGTCTTGTGTGAAGATGGTTGCTAGCTGTTAGCGGTTAGCATGCTTCTAGCTAGCCGGTTGTGACAATCAAGATCATGAGATCATAAACCACATCAGGGATGTTAAACTGCCACATCATCAGCGTCACATCCACGCATACGTTTATAATGGCTGGATTTGATGTCTGAAATATCACTAGTGAGCTGTCTTAACGAGAGTTTCTGCATGTCTTGGATGTGGTTATGTTGCTGTGAAAGCAGGACGGCGACACCCATGTTGCCAACACGGCGAACAGAGTTCAGACTCATCCTGCAGACCCATTCATCCCTTGCCTTTCCCACAGCTTCATAAGTTTGACGTGAAACCATGCTGTCTTTTAAGGCAACTCGTAAGATTTTGAGACGCATCTCCTGTAAGGCCCTTGGTTCTAATGTTTTGTCTTGTATTTTCTTCCACAGTGGGCAAAACTTCACTTATCACCAGGTTTATGTATGACAGCTTTGATAATACTTATCAGGTAACTATCACATCCCATTTTATATTTATTATTATTTTATCTGTCTTATGTAAAAGATGCTTACCATGTTCTCTGCTCAAATGCTTTTTTCTTAAAAGTGAACATTTTGCAGTTAATCGACACATTATCTGTTTAATTGTAAGATTTAAATGCTGCATTTTAAAGCATTTTTAGCACTATTATTTGCTGGATTAGCTTGTTGGATGGTCATCAAAATTACTCTTCTTGATGTACTAAAATATGTCCTAAAGATTTTGAGCTTAGGTGTCAAACTCAGTCTCTGGAGGGCCGCAGCTCTGCTCAGTTTTGCTCCAACCCTATTCAAATACAGCTGATCCAACTAATCAAGTTGTCCAAGAGTAATCTTGAACACCTTAATTAGTTAGATCAACTGTTTGATTAGGATTGGAGGAGTTCTGTGCAGAGCTGCGGCCCTCCAGGATTTGAGTTTGAGACCTATGATTTAGAGCAGGGGTAGGGAACCTATGGCTCTGGATCCACATGTGGCCCTTTGACGAAAAATATGTGGCTCTCCAGCTGTCTCTCTCTTCAATTATATTTTAAAGTATAAACAATTATAACTGTCACTAGAAATCAGTTTCCAAGTGAAAATACAATTACAATTTCCTTTATATTGTATTTTCTAGAGCAAAATGAATAAGAACTCCGTTTACAAAAAAGGACGTTTTAACCAATGCGCAAATGTGTCGCTTTGGTTAATCGTGGCACCAATAAAGGGCACGCAACTCACATTTCTATGATAACCTCACGCACGTAAATTCAAACAACATTCATGAGTGGGGATGGCAAAGAGAAGAAATCTATAAATTGTCCTTCCTTCATATATTGTGATGCGTCATATTTGTTTATTTTTGAGTTGTGCATGGATGGACATAAATAAAGCTTTTGTTTATAAATAAAGCTTTTGTTATATACATACACACTCCCAATGGCTCTTTAATAAATGCATTTGATTAAAAAAAATCAGAAATTGCTCTTTGCTGATAAAAGATTCCCGACCCCTGATTTAGTGTAAAGAAACATGAGAACAATACTTATTTTTAAATACAAATTTATTACATCACATATCATTAGAAAAAAATAATCTGTTAAATTAAAAACTAGCCTATTGTCAATTATTAGGCAAACACAAATTGACCAGCACATTCAGCTTGCCTCTTTCACATCGAAGCAATAGACAACACAGGATTCTGCTTGGTCTTAAAGTTTTTTTTCGATGTGTTATTTTCTCAATTTCAATTGATGGTGTAACAGTCATAATAGGACAAATGAGCTCATGTATGGGACAAATTCTGCACCTTTGTCAGTGAGGGGTGGGTCTTTCGAACCACCCGGCTACGGGCCTGGCTCATGGTATTGTTGACTTTGGCTAAACTGGATTGTGAAGGCTTTTTTTCCCCCAATGTTGGTCGTTAATAGGGATGCTCCGATCAGGATTTTTGCAGCAGATGCAGAGTACCGATTCCTTGTTATGGTGATTGATCGATACAGAATACTGATTCTGATGCTTCAAGCTTTATAATGCATTAAGCACATTTTTTCCTCCAAGTATGGACTTTCAGTAAAGATCTCTTTATCTAAGATAATGAATGAAGGATTTTCCATAAAAGCCCCTGAACGTGTCTCTTATTAGTGACGACATGTCATGGTCAGAAGCAGCTTTACAGAAAATACTAGATAAAATAGTCAAAAACACAGAACTTTCAGTTTTTATACATGTAAAAAAGCCTAAATACATGCAAGGCCATTCTAAAATTTTGCTCTCCAACTAGCATGTCAGTGACTGCAGCTCCTATTCTCTGGAAAGCCTCACAGCAGCTCAATCGGTCGATGAGAGAGACAGAGATGTGCACTGACTGGAGAAATCTTTACTGTGCTATTCATCTAGCCTAACAAATTTAAAACTTAGAACATCACTGTGCCTTTCACAATCTGTTCTCTTGCTACTTCACTCTCATCTCTATGATTTACAAGGTATTTTATCCAATTTAAAATACTTGCTCTCGGTTCACGAGATCAGCCAGATCTCCAGCCGATCAATCAGAGCATCCCCATTCCCCAGTCATTAATTGAATGAGTCATTCATTATCAAAATTGTACTCATTGTCTTGTTGATCCAAACATTTGTT